ATATATAAATATATAAAAAAGTGTGTTTCACACAATGCTTCCTTCACATTGTGTTTCACACTAGCAATAGGTTTTCAGTGAGACTATGCGGCAATGTGTATCAGCTGTCTGTAAATACTATGCCCTTTTATAGAAGGAACTTGGGTATCAGAGGATTTTTAGTGTCCTAAGTGGGTTGGGTGGGGTTTTCCAGAACCAACCCCCCACAGATGCTGAGGAACAACTGTACTTCTGAAAATTAGCCACTGAAAACTCTACGGACCACAACAGAGCATTATCTGATGTACGCTCTGCTGGAAGCTGCGCCCCATAGGTTGGAAGACACAGCATATACAGTGGCCTCAACGGTGAACTCCAGCAGCACCCAGGATGGCAAGGACCGGTCCTGTCTCCTTCTCTTGTCCGTCTCCATGGCAGTGGACAACTACAGGGTTTTCGAGTTTTTAATAGACATTTTTATGATGAAACATTTCCGGTATACCCCAACTCTCTCTTTCTCATGCTGTTTGGTTGGAATGGACTCAAGCCTGACCCTCTGCTATGTTTCAGAGGCTGTCAGTCACACAGGAGGGGATGGTCTAACTTTCTGCTGAGGACCCTAAGGTGGATTTGAACCTCCAGGGGCACCAGCTTTGGGTCAGTAGCAGAACACCCTGTGGACTATGCCACCCGAGCTCCCTAAAACTACTAAAGAGAACTTTCCTACAGTTTAAACAAGACACCACACACACAATTAAGCTGTGTTCCCCCCGGACTATCCCCAGGCCACCATTCTTAAGTCTAGCATTCTCATCACTACCCTACCCTCATTTTTATTTTCTTTTCATATCAGAAGGGTAATTTGTCTACGTTGTAACAAGGCTTAAGGGAGGCACAAGCCATACAAGAGTGTGAACACCCAATCATCACACTTAGGAGACAAAAAATTATCTACCCCCCATATTTTTGATACTGATCTTACCTATTTGAGAAGCTCTGGTGTTATCATGTGCTATGTGTTGTGCTTTTTTCCTTAAAAACCTTTATTTTATTTTATTATTGTGTGTGTGTCTGTGTGCACGCGCATGTACCGTCAAATCAGATCTGACTGGTACAGCAGGAGATTGTCCCTCCTTCTCCAGCAGAGTATCTGGTGGATTCAAACTGCTCACCTCTGGGATTGCAGCACAGCTGCTTGCCACGTGCTCTTGACCCAAAGGTCAACAGTTTGAATCTACAAGTTGCGCTGGAGGAGAAAGATGAGCAGTGGCCTCCTGTGAGGATTTAATGCTTCGGAAGCCCAGTGGAGGGCCGCTGGCTCAGAATCCATGGGACAGAAATGGATTGTTAAATATTTATTTATCCATGTTATTAAATTTTGTAGTAATTATACGGTTCAACTCTGGCTGCAGCTTGCCATTGTCCTACAAATGGGTGTTTTGGAAGGAGCCCTGGTGGTGTGGTTATTAAAGCAGCAGCTGCTAATCAAAAGGTTTGATCCCATGGCTGTCCATTGACAGCAAACTGTGAGAGTGAGCTTGGGAAGGGCTTAGCCCTGGGAGAACTGTGGGCGGCGCTACCTGCCCTGCCTTGCACGGTTGCTACCTGCTGGAATGGACTTCATGGCAGCAGGTTGAGTTTGGTTTGGATGGTTTGCACTTTTAGGCATGAGAAGAGCAGCTCCGACTCTCCACCAGTCATCACAGCAAACACTTTTTGTTTCTTTGTGGTAAGTTAGGAGGGAGCTCTGGTGGCCTGGTTGTAAGGAGCTGGGCCACCAGTTTAAGGACCTGTGGCCCGAATCATCCCCTGCAGGAGGAAGACGGGCAATCTCCTTCCAAGCAACTTACTGTCACTGAAAAATCACTGGCAGGCCAGCTATGAGGTAGTTCTGACTCTACTGCACATTACAACAAATAACATACAGGTCAGGGGGAGCTCTGGCAGGCGGGTGAGCAGGGAGTTGGGTTATGAACCCAGAGGCTATGGTTCTCTGGCTGTTTGAATCCACCGGCAGCTGTGAGGGAGAAAGATGGGCGGTCTCCTCCCCAGCAATTGACGGCTTCTGACAACCTGATGGCGCGCCAGTGATGAGTTGGCTTCGACTTGATGACGGTAATGAGTTAAGATTGTAGGTAAGGAGCCCTGTTAGCGTAGAGTGTAACATATGGGCTGCTAACTGTAAGGTCGGTGGTTCAAGTCTACCAGCTGCGAGCTGGCGTTGACTTGACAGCAGTAATGTAGACGGAGGTACCGGAACAGTTGCCATGTTGACATCTTCACGGTCACGGTACAGGGACATGAATCATGTACACACACCCTGTCGTTCAGTCGTCTCCATTAATTGTTCCCAGACTCTTCCGTCACCTTTAACAGAAGAAATTCTATGTGTTTCTCTTTTTAGCTCTTGTTCTAGTCCAAGCAGGTTTTCAAGTGCTTTATCTGCCTTATTCCATTTAATGTCCACCACCAAACTACTTTTCTGATCATTTACAGATTAGGAACTTGAGGTCCAAAGGATAAATTTATGTCTCTGAGGCCACACAGCTGGGCAGTTTGGCTCCCCCCCCCCCACCCGGCTGCATGCTCTGTTGTGTGAAAACACCATCATTTATATTTCTCTGCTTAAGGACACGGGAAATCTTTTGAAACCGTTGTTTATTTTCCCAAACACACCTGAGTATTGGACTCTGAAGGATTCAGGCACGACTGGCTTAGTCCATTACTCCTCACGTTCATTCTATGCGGGAGTATTTGTATCATCCTCCTCCTCACACCTTTAGAGATGTTGTTGCTGTTGACCGCCTTCGAGTCAAGCATGACTCATAGTGACCCCATGAACAAAAGGCCTGAAGCCCCTCTACAACTATCGACATTTATCAAGGTTCATAGAGTTTCGGGGGGCACGTTATTTAGGAAGTGGATGCCACTCCCGCTTCCAAACCTGTCATAGTATGTTATTGTTAGGTGCCATTGAGTCACTTGAAATGTATAGCAATCCTACGTACAGCAGCTCTGAACCCTTCCCTGTCCCGAGCCAGTCTCACTAACTCCAACACAACAACCCCCATTGCCCTACTTACTGTATCAATCCATCTAAGCCTGGGTGTCCCTCTCCTGTGCTGTCCATCCACCCTCCCAAGCATGATGTCCTTCTCCAAGGTCCGATCTCTCCTGGCCATGTACCCAAAGTAAGTGAGGTGGAGCTTCAAAATCCTAGCCTGCAAGGAGAGACTTGGCGTCACCCTCTCCAAGACAGATCTATTTGTTTTCTTGGAAGGCCATGGTGTGTCCAAGACTCTTCTCCAGCACCACATTCGAAGGCATCTATTCTTCTGTCATCCTTAGTCAGAAGGCAAGTCACTTACTAGCTCCACTATGCCAGACTTGAGCTCCCCCATCTCAGAGCTCAGGCACTCTCGCAGTCCCTCACATCAGCCCTATGGGATGCCCTAGAGATTTTCTCAGCAACCCTCCCTTCCTCCCTCCCTCCCTCCCCCCAGAGCACCCTCTCCACACCTGGGCTTTGCTCTGTCTGCCTGGCCACCCACCAGGGTCCTGGGAGAAGGGGCCCAACTGGAAGGCTAGTCCATGTTAGGAAATTCCAACCACATGGATTCTGAGCAGCTGGTGGCTTTAGGAGAAACTGAAACTTGGCTGACTGGGGGTGGAGTGGCCAGTGGGGGTTTTAAACACAGCCACTTCCTTGGGTTCCAGAGGGCACAGGGAGGTCACCGCAGACAGCGCCCAGCGACAACATTCTGAACCTGGAGAGACAATCTGCTGTCCCCAACCAACCCATCTGCCTCTGTGGGAGTGATGGGCTGCTGGCTGAGATGGTGAGTGGAGGGGACCAGGACGGGTGACAGGGGGCTGTGTCCAAGGGTGCCCTTTACTCAGTAAGGAATGCAGTCAGGAGCATCCAGTCCCAGCGTCAGACCATAGGCTGTGTGACTTGGGCCCCACACAGCCCCCCGCTGGGCCTCAGGGTTTGCTTGTTTCCAGCCCCAGCCCAGGCTCAGCTTGGTGTCTGTGACCTGCTTTGTGTCGGTATATACCTGCTTCTCTCCACTCACCCCCTGCTGTCCACTGACCGCCTTTATAGAAGTTTTCTCTCCTAAGTTCTCCTGTCCCTGGCTTCCCCTGGTGGCCCCTCTCCTGGGACCCAAGTGCCTTGAGGCCCACCCTTTTTCTCATGGGGTCTTTTCCTCCAAGCGCCAGCTCTCCCCTTTCCCTTGTTCCCCCCCTCCCCCCATGTCTGGAATGGGCTGCTGTGACCACGAGCAGGCCCTTGGTCACGGTGACCGTGCCTGAGCTCTCCCCACCCCCAGCTACAGCTCAGATCCGAGGGACGCGGGAAGGAGGCCTAGGCTGTGGTGGTCCCTAGCATTCCCTCATGACCTCGCCCTCCAGGGTGCTGGGCATGAGGCTTCAATGCTGAGGCTAAGTTTTAAGAAGCCCAGAGTAGAGGGGAGAGGAGCTACAACTTGGACATCCCCTCTTCTACCAAAATAGGCTCCCCATTCTTGAATCCATTTATTCTGTTTTGTACCCTGCTAGCGTGTTGGCAAGCTGAGGGCAGGGAGTTCTGTTGTGTGGGTAACTTCTGTGCCCCTGGCCGTCTTGGCACATGGTAGATACTCAGCTAGTGTTTGTTGGGTAAGCGAATTGCAGGCACAAGGACATGGATTCTGGGCTGTCATCAGGGACTCGGTGGTTCAGGCCATCAAGCGCTTGACAGGAAATCAGCACTGGGTGATAAGATCAGTGGCTGACACTTATTAACTACCAGCTAACGGCTGAAGGCTCCAGATCTGTCCCTACATGAGCTCCATCCCTTTGTAAACCCTGTCTCTTGCCTCTCCCTCGTGATAAGGAAGGCCCTGTCGCCCCCGACTTTTACAGCCAAGGTGGCCAGGTTCAAGGTGGCCAGGAGTGAGGGACTGAGTCAGAGTTCAAAGTCACATAGCTTAAAATGAGAGTGTGGGGTTAGAAACCAGTTTATTTGAGTTTGAATCTCAGGCACCTCATCTTTGATTCAAGACACTTCCGCACGTGCTGTCGTCCCCAGGTAAGCTATGATGGAGACATGTGGCAGGGCCCAGGTTATCACCAGGTGGTGGAGCCTTCCACAGGGTGTAAGGGAGCAGAGGGGGCTTCTGAGAGAAGGGGACCTTCAGGGTCTTGACTAGGGCTGAACAGGGCTTTCCAATGCCCATCTGCTGAGCCCTCTGCCTGGTGCCCTGCAGGACCCCGAGGAGCACCAGAGGCAGCTGAAGAGGAAGCAGAAGAACCGGGCTTCTGCTCAGCGCAACCGGCAGAAACACATGGACAAGGCGGACATGCTGCATCAGGTGGGTCTCCCTTCTTCTCATCAGCCCCACTAAGCAGGCGCCATGCCCTTTACCACTGGCCTGGGCGCACTATTCCCTACAACCAGAAGCCGAGTACAAGCTGAGCTATGGGGCTCTGCCTTCAAGGTGCCTTCTGTCTAAGAGGAGGAGAGACAGGAAGTGGAAGGCAGGCGGGGGAACCCAGACCCACCCGGGCTGAGACACTTAGAATGCACATTCTTGGATCACCCTGCCCAGCAGTTGCACCTCGTGTGCCCCGGATGGGCCCCAGGACCCCGGGAGCTGAGTTATCAACTATGATTAATCGCTGTCAGGGTTCCGCTGTGTGTAGTTGAGATCACGTCAGGAGAAACTCCCAGTTCAAGCTGAAGATGTTGAGTCCCAGCTGCTGTCTCATTAATTCTGAAGCCCTTATTTTACCGAGCCTGGAGCCTCACTGTACTCATCTGAAGAAAGGGAGGCTGTAATCTCTGCCCCAAATATGGAGATGGGATGGGAGTGGGCAGGAGGTGTGGGGGTAAATGAAGGCAGAATGTCACAGCTCTCTCTAGGCCTAACCCCAGGCCTTGATATCCTTTGAAAAAAACCCGATAATTTACATGTCGACTAGATGACCAGATCCTGATGAGGTCCTGAGCCTGACCACACACTGACAAGACAAACTGTCCCGAATTCCTGAGCAAATTATCACTCTCTTTGGGTGTCCCTTAAAGGCCCTATAGAGGAAAACTGTCTTTGCCTGCGCTACTCTGCGACCTCTGTGAGCGGTCACCTGGCGTCCCTCTCAGGGCTACTAATGAAGGCCTGTTCGCTACTGGGCACCAGCTTCTTTTTTTCTCTTTCCTGCCTTCAAGTCTCTTTTCCTACCTAACTGTAAGGAAGGCTTCACCCACGCTGTGCTGCTTGACCTTGGATGGCAACAGACCCTCAGGGTTGCCCCTTTTCTCTGTGCAGGCAGGACACCACTAGAAGACATAGAAATAAATATCTTCAGGTGTTTTTCACCATTGACCTCATAAATGGCTATTCAGAGCTGTGGGTTCTCAGAACCCAGGGTTTGACAGGACAGAACCCGAAAAATACAACCCTAGGAGTCCCCCCAACCCTGCCTCTAAGTATTTTGAAGGGTGCAATCTGGGTGTGAGGAATCCCTGGGCAGCCCAGAGGGCCCAGGACAGACTGACATCCCAAGTGCACATGAAGCCACGTTGGGACGGGCCTGGAGTGAGGGCTGGGGGAGGAAGGTATCCTTGTGGAGGAAACAGGAAATGTGTCCAGGAAGCACAGTCCATTCGAGGAACAGGAAGTGAGTGAGAGCAAAGAGGAGCTGGTGTGAGAAAGCTGAGAGGAGGGCTGGGCCCCCGTGCAGCTGCAAACGCCAGGTGGGGCTGGGGTCCTGAGGAGTCGTGGCACCATCACAGCCACTCTGTGTGGTCAATGACACCGTGGCTGTGGACTTGAGGAAGCCTCAGGCTACTGCAAGGAGAATGGAGGGACTTGGAGTTGGACCAGCTCAGGAAAGGAATCCTGGTGGCACAGTGGATAAGCGCCCCACTGCTAAGACCAACATGAAGGTGGATGGTTAGGACCCTCGGGGAAGATGCGGCGGTCAGTGTCTGTAAAGGTTCCTAAACCCATTGGCTCTAATTCATGGCAACCTTACAGGACAAAGGGGAGCTGTCCCGGGAGTTGTCAAGGCTGTGTGTCAGCTTTATGGGAGCCCCGTCTTCCTCAGCTGGGGGCTCTGTCCCCAGGGCTTTCTGTTTGAGTTGAGCACCAAAATTGCCTTTGCTGCTCCTTGTGGGTAACAGCCTTGGGAGCCCGACTGGGCTCTGTCCTTTAGGGCCACTCTGCAAAAGAATGGACTTGGTGGAGATGGGTTGGGACCAGGTCAGATGGCAGCTGGAGGTAGCGGGTGAGAATGATACAGGCCCTGGTGTTGAGGAGAAGAGAATATGGATGGGATGAGTGGTCCTACGAGGAGGTAGAACAGTGACGTGGGTTGGCAGAGGGCTGGGGAGGGAACGGCCAGATGGGTGGCAGGATTGTTCCCTCTGAAACCCAGGACCCTGGGAATGAGGACTCACACTGGGGTCTGCTACTGGCTGACGACCCCTCCGTACTTCTCCCCCTAGCAACACGAGTCCCTGGAGAAGCACAACAATGCCCTTCGGAAGGAGATCCTGCTCCTGAAAGAAGAGCTGGCGTGGTTGGACCGGACCCTCCGCCAGCACCTGCACCAGTACTCCATGGACCCCGCTTCTCCCTCGGCTCCTCCGGGGAGCCCTGTGCCCCAGAGCTGTGAGGGGCAGTCCAGTGTCTTCCAGGCCTCAGCCTCTCCACACCCAGCTCAGAACATCACATCAACTCTGCAGCCTCATCAAACCTCAGGCCTTGTGGCCCCTCTGTCTTCACAGTCACTGAAGGTCACTCCAACAATCCCTACTCCTCCTGGCCAGCTGTCCGCCAGCTCGGTCCTGCCCCCTCCCCCTGCCATCCCCAGCCTGCTGGGGCCTTCCTCAGAGTTCAAAGACCCCTTGTTCAGCCCCGTATACCACAGCCCTGGGCCTCCCTTGGAGCTTGTTCCAGGGGGCCTTGATTACTACCTCACAGAGTGGCAAAGGCCAAGGGTGGATCCTTGTCCCGACTTTCTCCTGACCTTGGAGAAGGATGGGAAGTCCAGGCTGGGTCTTGATTTCCCCCCTACAGATTGACAAGGGCCAAGGGTGGGTCCTTGTCCCAACTCACTCCTGGCCTTGCCTCCACTCTCCTCTGCCCATGTCCACTTCTAACTCTGTTTCCAAAGCCAAGTACCCCTTTTTTAGACTCTCTTCTGGGCACTGGGCACTTCCTTGGGCTGCTGAGCTTGGCCCAAGAGTTCACAAGGCAAAGAAGGCATTAGGGCCTTCACAGTGGCAGCCTGCCACACTCACGGTCTTATTTCAACTTCACTGCAGGTTGCTAACTCCAGATTCACTCCACTTTTTCAGAGAAGGAAACAGCCTTAGAGAAGCCAAGTGATTTGTCTAAGATCATACAGCCTTTCTTGAGATCAGAAACATTGCCCTCTGCTCCTCCCTTCTCTTGTTGGACTCCTGATCCAGGGCCCCAGGGGTTCAAGTTCTAGACCCTGATGTTTGTGTGAGGCGTCTTATGGCTGGGCATGGGAATGGTTCTCTGGAGCCCTGCACTTGGGGCCCCGAGCAGGGAACCAGTCCAGAGTTCAAGACTGGGCTGATCCAACAATGAATGAATGGAAATCCAAAATCTCTGTAAATGTTCATCAAAATTAATAAAAAATATATAAAAAAGACTAAGCTGGGAGGCTCCCAGGAGGAGGTCAGGTGTGGACTCCCCAAGCAATGCATTCTGGGGCAGGGAGGGTCTCTGAGAAATGACTGAAGCGGGCTGAATACTCACCTTTGCCCAGAAACCTGGGGTGATCCTGCAAGACCTGCTCTCAGGCTAATCTAACAGGGCTCCGGTGCCTAGGAAGGCCGGGTGGAGGGATTGCATGCACTTATGCACAGAAGGCAGGAGGAAAGGGTGGAAGGAGGGGCAGGTGCCAGGTCTCCAGGCCTGATCCTGCACTTTCCCACTTGCCTCCAGCTTGTTACCCTTGGGAGGTCTCCCCTGAAATGATCTGGGTCTAAGCTGATGGCAGCTGGAAGAGCCGGGCCTGCAATCAGGAGGGGGTGACCAGGAGGGGCTCAGCTGCAGCATCTGCTCTGCGAGGGGGGCTTCTCATTCAGGAGTGGCTCTCTAGCAGGGCTTGAGATGGAACAGCCCAGCTCTTTCCCCAATTTTCACCACACGTAAGCAGAGCCCTGTACTGATCTTTCACACACTCCAGGGCGCTGAGCACAGTCTCAGAACATATGGGAAATAAATGAAATTCTTTTTCATTTTTTTTCCTTTGGCAAGTTGTTAAAGAGCATACACTTTATAGCTGAAACCAAATAATTGATAAAATACTGAACCAGAGACATAAAAGACTTGTTGTTGTTATGTGCCGTCGAGTTGCTTGCAACTCATAGCAACGCTATGTACAACAGCCCTAAACTCTGCTCTGTCCTGTGCCCTAGACAATGAAAATGGTAAAACATTACAACAAAAGAACTACAGAAATAGGAAGACACCCAGGCTCAAGGATTGGAAGACTTTACATAGTGAAAATGTCCACAGATTCAGTGCAGTACTGACACAAATCACAACAGCATGTTTTATTGAAATAGAAAAATGGACCAAAATTTATAGATCAACTTCATATGGAGAGGAAAGAAACCCCAAATAGCCAGAGTGGCGTTGAAGAGAGAGGACCAGGCTGGACGCCTCACACTCACTGACATCACAGTACACTGTACAGCCACTGTCAGTGAAACAGCCTGGTATTGGGTCAATGATGGGCACACAAGGCAGTGGAACACAATTAGGAACTCAGAATTAAATGCAGCCTCTGTGGATTATGTCTCAACATCAAGAAAACAAAGACCCTCACCACTGGGCCAATAGAGAATACCATGATAGATCAAGAAAAGATTGACTCTGTCCATGATCCAAGATCTTGGATCAACATCACTGGTACTAGCAGTCAAGAAATCAGAAGACATATTGTACTGAGCAAGTCTGCTGTAGGGGCTTTTCCAGAGTACTGAAGAGTGATAATAATGTCCGTCTACAACTAAAAGACATTGAGATTGTTGATAACTTTAGCTTGCTTGTCTCTACAATCAACGCTCTTGGTACCAGAAGCCAGAAAATCAAAAGATGAATAGCTTTGGAAAAATCTGCTGCCAGGGACCTCTTCAAGAGTACTGAAGATCAATGATGTCAGTCAAGAGACTAAGGGGCACCTGACCCAGGCCATGGCCTTCGCAATTACTTGCTATGCATCAGAGAGCTGGACAAGGACTAAGGATGACAGAAGAAGAATCAATGCTATTGAGTTATGATTCTGGAGAAGAACATACCGTGGACTGCTAGGAGAACGAACAGGTTGGTCCCGGAGATGGTGAAACCAGGCTGCTCTTTGGAGGCAAGGATTTTGAAGCTTCATCTGACATACTTTGGGCATGTTACAAGGAGGGACCAGTCCTTGGAGAGGAACATCAGGCTTGGAAGAGTAGAGGGACAGCACGAGAGAGGAAGACGGTGAGAAGGATTGACTCAGTGACTGGGGTAAAGGGGGCAAGTGTGTCAGAAACAATAAGGTTGGCTCAGGATAGAGCTGTTGTGCATAGGATTGCTGTGAGTCTCAAGTGACTCAATGACACACAACAACAACAACAACACTTTGCTTAAGCTCTTTGTTGCAGTCAGTTTGTTAATCCAACTTTTTTTTTTTAGTTTTGTTGTTGGGTTTTTTAAAATCCATGGTATATTCAGTAGTCTTTGGTAACACTACATTTGAAAGAGATCAGTTCTATTGTTAATCCATCTTGATGAGGATTTTTCTCTCTTTCCTGTCCCTCTGCTTTTCAAGCACAATGTCCGTAAAGGACTGGCCCCCTCCTGACATCATGCCCAGGGTGTATGAGATGAGGTTCCACCATCCTCGCCTCTACGGAGCATTCTGGTTGCACTGTCTCCAGGACAGATTTGCTCTTTTGGAAGTTTGTGGGAATTGGTCTGTTGCTTTGGCAGCCGGCAGCATATTCAATACTCTTGGCCAGCATCACAATTCAAAGGCATTGACTCTTCTCTGATCTTCTTTACTCACTGGAAGAGAAACCCAAGGAAGAATCGACAAGAGCAAGTACATTGTAGGTCTTGGATTAAAGTCATAAAGCAAAACGTTTGTGAATGAATGGAAAGTGAGTTTGCTCTGTAAACTTTCATTCAATTAATATAAAAAAGTCATAAAGAAATAAAAATAGGATGCAGTAAGTAGAAAAACTTATGCTCATCAAAATACTTTATAAGAAAAGTGAATGGATAACCTATTGGAAACCACAGTAATGCCATAACAACACAGTCCAATCATAAAATTGACAAAGGATGTGAAGCGAGGATTTCCAAACATCCAACAAATATCTGAAAAGAGATATCAGTAGCCATTGGAGAGATGCACATACTACCCTGGCTAAAATGACCCTGATCCAAAACCCAGATCAGAACAAATGGTGTGGGGAATGTGCGAAGATTAGAACCCATTGCTCATAGGATTGTAAAATAATAAAAGGACTATGGAAATGAAGCTTTCTCAAAAAAACTAGAAATAGAACTACCTATGATCCAGCAATTCCAGTCCTAAGTATTGATTCAAAGACCTAAAGATAATGACATGAACAGATACACACAGGGCTATGGTCATTGTCTTTCAGTACTCACAATAGCAAATAGTTATTTACAATCGAAGTACCAATTATTAATGGGTGAATGAAAAGCAAATTGTGGCACACACATGATGGTGTACTAAGCAATTGTGAAGAACAAGGAGGAGTTCTGGCAACATATTATATATGGTAAGAGCATAGGTATAGGTATACATATACATACACACATATTATATATGGTTAGAGCATTTATTTATTTATTTATTGATAGATAGATACATACATATACATATAGAATGGGAATCCCAGAACACTTCATCGTACTAATGCGAAACTTATACTCGGACCAAGAGGCAGTTGTCAGAACAGAGCAAGGAGACACTACATGGTTCAAAATCAAGAAGGGGGCTCGTCAGGGATGTATTCTGTCTCCGTACCTTTTCAATCTGTATGCAGAACAGATCATCAAGATGCTGGGTTATACGAAGAGGAATGTGGCATGAGGATTGGTGGAAGAATCATCAACAACCTGTGTTATGCAGATGACACAACCCTGCTTGCTAAAACTGAGGAGGACCTGAAGCACTTGCTGCAGAAGATCAAGGACTACAGCCTCCTACATGGACTGAAGCTAAACGTCAAGAAAACAAAGATTCTAACCACTGGGCCAATTGGCAGCATCAGCGTGGATGGTGAGGAGATTGAGATAGTTAACAGTTTTAATTTACTTGGCTCCACAGTCAACACTCTTGGTAACAGCAGCCAGGAAATCAGGAGATGAATTGCATTGGAAAGTCGGCTGTGAGGGACCTCTCAAGACTACTGAAGAGCAACAATGTCAGGCTGGAAACTAAGGTGCGCCTGATCCAGGCTATAGTCTTCGCAATTATGTGCTATGCATTAGAGAGTTGGACAGTGAATAGGGTTGATAGAAAGAGGATTGTTGCCTTTGAGCTGTGGTGCTGGAGAAGAGTGTTGAATATACCATGGACTGCTAGGAGAACAAACAGGTTTGTCCTGGAGAGGGTGAAGCCAGAGTGTTCCCTGGAGTCAAGGATTCTGAAGCTTCGTCTGACATATTTTGGGCATGTTGCAAGGAGGGACTGGTCCTTGGAGAGGGACATCATGTTTGGCAGAGTGGAGGGGCGGCGAAGGAGAGGAAGACCTTTGGTGAGGTGGATCAATTCTGTGACTGGAGGGGTGGGAATAAGTGTGTTTGAGATGGCTAGGTTGGCACAAGTTAGAACAGCATTTAGAGCTCTTGTACATAGGGTCGCTATGAGTTGCAAGTGACTCGATGGCACACAACAACAATACATATATATACACACATACATATGCATACACATACATATGCTTACATACATACACATATACATATAGTTGGAAGCAGGAGAGGCATCTACTTCCTAAATGGTTTGTCTCTGGAAACTATGAAC